TGGAAACGGAAAGAACACAACTCCTCCAGACAATCTCTCGGGGTACCTAGTGTCCGACTTACAAACGCCGTGGGCGCACCGCTTCACCATCTTGCTTGGAGTCAATGCTTGACGGACCTGCTCACATGGTAACGGTTGCTATGTTGTGTGATTGGACAATGGCCGTTTTGTGGGAGGGGCTTGCGAACGGTCAATTGTGTTTCGAGTTTACCATGTACTTCACAAACAAAACATATTATTGTTAGCTTGTTAGTCGAGTTTACAGTGCAAATCGTAAGTAAAATATCTGGTTGCTAGATTAGCAGAATTCTAAAGCCAAACTCAATTCAATCAATGGTAGGATGAGGTTACCATGACTTTCGCAAGGAAAAGAGTATCTGGATGTTAGCTTAGCAACATGCTAATGTAAGACTTTTGGAATCAATTATGGGACCAGTCTACTGTAGCTGTGTCCCAATGTGAAGGCTGCATCCTCGGAAGGCCGTATTTGAAGGCTGATTGCGTCACCGCGGCGCGATGAAGGCTGTCCCAATTCAGTTCTGCATCCTCCGAAGGCTGTGTTCGAAGGCCGGTTGCGTCATTGCAGCGCGACGAAGGCTTCCCTGATTCAAAAGCGACGCCAAATGCACTCTTCGTTTCCCCGTGAAAGAGAGGATACATAAATGGATCCTAAGCGGCCTATCCTACCCCATAAATCATTGCGCTGGTGACGAAAGCATTTTTATAAAATTAAAAAAGGCCGGCCGAGAGTTCGGTGGTGGACGGCAAATTCACATTTAAATGTAAGTATTATGTTTTCATGTACTCAAATAGCTAGAGAAACCAGAGTTAAAAGCCACAAGTTTTTCTTTCTTATTCATCTGAACTCATTCGTCACCATTGCGTGGCTTCATTTGTCATGTGGTTTGAGGCTAAACTTATAAACTGCTAATATTAGTTTAATAATTGTTTCAGGGAACAAGGGGCAGACAGCTCAATTTATTCAATTGCGGTCTGAAAATGACCATTTCTTTACGGGGGCGAAAACTCCGCCAGCGTAAGACAACGACCTGTTTGTAATATTTGCACTAGTCTGTCTCACTTGTGTAGCCTATTATAAAAAAAATATAAATGGCAAAGGGGTTTCACTTTTATGTGTTTTTGTAGTGCTGTCATGCAAGCAATGTCTACAAAGGTTTTAACCAAATTTGAGTATCCAGAAATATGATTTCTGAAGTATTTTGTATTCATATCCTGATGTGTCATATTTTGTAATGTTAAGGTTGCACTCATGTTAAGATTGCACTCCTGTCTAAATATATTTCATAAGTGGTTCCCTTTTGTTTTGTTTTAGGAGAATTCTGGAGAAAATAGACCTGCTGGGGAAGGTGACTCCCATGCAGGACAATATATATATATATATATAAGTAAGAAAGTTTGACAGATCTTTGTTTAAATGTATTGTGTCGTTGTTGTTGTTGTTAACAGGCATGCTTTATTTGCTCTGCCTTAGGATTGCAAGTGTCCTGGGACAGGACAGACCAGGGCCGAGTTCAGCAGAGTGTGACCAAGAAAAGGAGGAGCCACCAGCACCACAAAGAAGACGAGACAGAGAGGACGAGTTTTTGGACTTGATTAGAGAAGACATGGGACTACAGACGGCGCGGAGAGTAGGAAGAGGATGGACAGGCTGTTTTCTCTTCTTGAAAGAATGATTGAGAATTTATTTACCTATATATTCTTGTTTAACTTTTTTTCACTTATATATTTTTTTTAAAAGGAAAAAAAATAATTTCTGTACATTATTTCTTTATTATTCATTATTTCATTATTTTATGCAACTTTAAATGTGTAAATAAAAGAGAATTCATGGCTCTGGACATGATCTTGGCTCAGCCGAAAATACATGACTCGGCGGCGCCGGGGCTGAAACATCCTCCCCATGTCCTCCAGTAAAATATAAAACAAAAAAAATGGCAATAGCCAATTCTGGCTCCATAGCTGTTTACTCAATTATATCAAATGAATGATCAGGATGGCAGCTGTACTCTCGCACTGTTGCTTGGCGCCAGGAGCGGTAATCGGGAACACCTGTTTGCGCAATTAGGAAATCCCACGAAGGCTACATGGTGCGTCCTTCGAAGGACGAATAGGCTGCATCCTTCACATTGGGACACAGCTTGTGTGTTTCACATAGAAAACTAGTGTGCTTAAAGTGTTATCTTAGCAACATGCTAAAGGAAAACCCTATTGGAATTCATTGTAGGTTTAGTCTAGTGTGTTCCCATGTCAAAGATTTTAAATCAGTCACTAATCAGGTGTAGCGGCTGACCTGATCAGACACACAATTGACCCTTCGCAAAGACCTTAGTTACTGTTGCTATGTCCGAAAAGCCATGGCGCTCACACGCCACACAACACGTTCTCACGCAGTGAAAAATACATTGTGGAGCAAAGAGGGACAGTAGGGCTGCACAATTAATCGAATTTCTAATCGTGATTACGATTACGGATGCCACGATTACATAATCATTCAAAGTAGCGATTACAAAAAAAAAGTCCACTTACATAATTCTGCGTGCTTAAAGGGACACTTCACCCATTTGCATTAGGCTTTGTATCGTTATAAACCCAGTCATATTTTTGAATGGGCGTGCATTATCCCCTCATTTTTCCCTGAGACGGGAGAAATAAGGATTTCAGTGTTGCAGTTCCTGCTTATAATGATGTAAAAATCGCCTATTTTGCGTCATTGTAAGCAGGAAGTCCCATATCTTGGGGCTGAGACTACAAACACCCGTTCCTTGTTTTCCCAGGGGGTGGGACCCGCTCACACTACAGACCTATTACAGATCAGTGGGTGGGACTTCACTTTCTGAAACTAAAAGCAATATCCTCCATCTTGTTTGGAAGCTAAGCTAACAGGCGCTGTGGAGCCAGATGTAAAGTTACGACAATGGCGAAATGTTCTCAATATGATATGGAAGAAGAGGATTTAGAAAGTCTGATGTTCGTGGCTACTTTTACGAGCCGCAATATAGCGAAGAGCAGCTGAGGCTGATGGAGGAACAGGAGGCGGCTGCCTGTCGCGGACGAGGAGCCCGGACTGGCTCGAGCTGGGCGGACTGTGGTGCCTGTGCTCTCGCTGTGCGCTACGGACACAGATAGAATTTGCACAAATTCTGCAAAGAATTTCAACGATGCCAATTTCTCCTGGGCGAAATGTCTGAATCAGATGAGGACACAGACGTTTGTGTTGTGAACCATCCTAGTTTCGCACCGCATATGTTCTGACTGAACATCCCGGTATCATGCAATATTTCACCATTTCGAAAGAAATACAAATGAGAAGTAATTCACTAATTAGTTAACTACTAACTAACTAGAAATTTTGTGTGAAATGAATGTCAAGCTTTGGTGGTAGCTAAGTTAGCCTTGTAGACGGAAGAGTGATTTCTCTGATAGGCAAATACCTCATAGATGCTGTTCTGGATTAGTGGGAGTGGCTTGCAGAGCTGTGCAATGTGGTGCATTGTGGGAGTTGTTGTCTTTCATACAAATGCGCCCTAAAGTTACTTTGTCCTTTCTCGGTCAAGAAGGCACCAAATTCGAAATTAATTTTACATTTCGACTACATATATTGCCCACTTTCAATAAAGATTAATGTTCCCACTGGTGAAATGCTCCTTTAAGAGGTGTATTTAGACGAGCATGTTACATTGTGAGAGGCGAATCACAGCTACTTCAGAGAACCCAGCACTATAGGAACTACCAGTGACGCAAGTGTACGCTGATTGGTCGAATACAGGCGAAACACCAGTAAATTTTTTTTAAAAGCTGTGTACACAGCCTATATATTTACTCCAGAAACGAACTCTACGAACATGGAAAACAATGATAGATGAACCTCTCAACCTTTACACTAAGGAGAAAAGTAAAGGTTTACGCAACCTTTACGCTAAGGAGATCAGTGTGAGCAGCACTAGGGAAACCCAGTGTAAACTAAAACTTTTGTGCACATTCACGTGAGTCCCTTTAACGATGCGATCACAGCTACATGCTCTGAGTAGCACAGTACCCACTTCTGTGGCCATAAAATTATCCTTTCTGAGAGCTGATAGACAATTAATACAGAGTGTTTACTGGACGAACAGGTTAATTGATTGAAATAGGAATTATTCCTCTATTAACTAATCCAAATGTTTATAATTAATTCTAAAGAGTTATAATTGATTACTCCTATTTCACTTTAGCTAATTTGCTAAATGGGTTCCATTTCAGTTAGGATGCTGCCTCACTAGTTAGCTGCCTATGTGGGCAGTAGATGTGCTATGTTTTGGAATAAAGCTTTTGAACTTCAGAATTCAAGGACACAAATATAAATGCTTCCTTCTCTTTTATCTTCTTACGACTTTCTGCTTCATTAAGAGCCATCTTCGCTTTAGTCCTTGCCAGAAGTTGGATACAGTTTTGAATGTGTTTTCATATCAAGTGATGGTAATATGCACAACAGCATTGAAGACGCAGTTCACCGGGAAGTTCTGAACGCAGAGATGAGACAAAGAGAAACATCAATGTGTTTCTTTGATGTTGTTGTGAACCTTATAGGATGGCAGTGAAAATGATATGGACAAAACAATGCAGCTGATTTTATTATACTGGCTGATATTCATCATATGAACTGGGTTGTTCTGTAATTATGGATCTCCTTGATTAAAACAAAAGTAATTAAGGCATTATTAGTGAGCACCAGTCATGGATAAGCCTTGTAATTTATAGCACACATCACAAGAGATGAACAAAGAATCCCTGGTCTTATGGCAAACATTAGCAGCGAGTTTATTATAATACAAGCTTCATGTTAGCAAATTTACTTTTAATCATCTCAAAATTTGTTCAGTGTTTTGGTCTGCTTTCTTGCCACCTCTGTAGAATTTCTTAAACATCTCCAATTATCTTAAAAATAAAATAAAACTATCAGATGGTGCAGAATGAGGGTTAAATGCTGTGTTTCTATTCAGGTCTGGGATCATAACATCATTCCCAAGGGTGCACTTCCTCCATCCAGCCCCACGCCAAGGGCAGGAATAGGTGAAAGACTTACACGCAAGAACACTTGATGAATAATGCATAAAAATCAAATGCTCTTTAGTGACTCACAGCCAACGGTCAGGAGCAGGTGAGGTGTTCCAGAGGTACTGTTGTGCAGTTGTGTTTGTATTAATTTCTATATATATATAATATATAATCTACAGACTTTCAGTTGTTTGCAATGAACAAATCAAACAAAAGTAATTGAAATAGCTCAGCACAACTGTGATTTTAAGTGGTTTCCCCAAATTCAGCTTAAAATGCAAAGTTTAATGACCTCTGCTATCTCAAAATTATTCAACCCCTTCATGGCAAGCAAAATTAGTACTTTTAATGACCTGCTACAAACAAGATGTATAACCAGACACCAGCTTCTGGCAGCGTTTCTGAAGAATCTTAACCTATTCCTCATGAGCAATGGCCTCCAGTTCAGTAATGTTCTTGGGTTTGCGTGCTGCTACCGCCTTCTTTAAATCCCACCAGAGATTTTCTATGGGGTTCAAGTCAGGTGACTGTGATGGCCACTGTAGAGTCTTCTTCTGCAACCAAACCTTGGTGGAATTTGAGGTATGCTTGGGATAGTTGTCCTGTTGGAAGGTCCAATGACGCCCAAGCTTCAGCTTCCTCACTGACAGCAGGATGTTTTCTTCTAGGATTTCCTGATACTTCGATGAATCCATCTTGCCCTCCACACGCTGCAGGTTTCCAGTGCCAGGGGATGTAAAAGCCGCAGAGCATCACCGAGCTCCACATGCTGAACTGTAGGCAGAGTTCTCTTCAGCATATGCTTCACTCTTCTTCATCCAGACCCGCTGATCCATAAGGCCGAAAAGTTCCAGTTTTGTTTCATCGTTCCACAGAACAGAATCCCAAAACTTCTGTGGCTTATTTATATGATTTTGAGCAAATTGGAGCCCAGTTCTCTTGTGCTTTTGGGTCAGTAGTGGTGTACGTCTTGGAGTTCTGGCATGCGTGTAGCAAACGCCTTACAGTGCAAACTGAAACCTCAGTGTTTGTTGGCACCAAGTCTTGCTGCAGGTCTTTTGCAGTCACTTGAGGGTTTTTCTGAACCGGCCCTCTCAGAAATCTGGTTGCAGCCATTGATATCTTCCTTTTTCTGCCACTTCATCCACTTCATCCTCGTAACTGCTGTTCCTTTAACTTTGAACTTGCGAACTATGCTTCCAACAGTGTCTCTAGGAAGAGTTAGTGCCTTCACTATCTTTTTGTATCCTGTTGCTTGTTTGTGAAGGGTGATGATATCTTCTTAACTTTTTGGACCATTCTTTTGACTTAAACATATTTCTAACATGCAGTCAAACGTGACACTCAACAAACCGAGCCAGTTCAGATATTTCATGTGTTCTAGCTCAAGCACACCTGGTGCAACTAATGAAGCCCTTGAATAGTTCAATGAATAGCATCTTTAGACTACACCTGTTTTGCAGATGCTTTTGTGCTTTTGTTAGGGATTCTATTCAGGGGGTTGAATAATTTGGAGACTGCAGAAGTCATTAAAAGTTGCATTTTCAGGGTACGTTTACACGACAATGATATGCTTAAAACGGAGAAATTTTTCGCATACAGACGACATCAATGTCAAAACGATCCCCATTCACACGGATTAGCAAAAACAATCCGTGTAATCTGACACGTAAAAACTTCGATGTCTGGAGCACATGGGTAACGCTTCCTTTTACAGTCCTGTTACCCATGTACTTACTATGTACTTATTATAGTAATTATAATTACTGGGTAATAACTAGGTACTAACACTGAACCTACCCCTAAACCTACCCCTAACCCATGTACTTACCTTATATTAGCCAGTACTTTCTAGGTAAGTACACTGTAAGTACACGTAAGTACTGTACTGTAAAAGGAAGCGTTACCAGCACATGAAGACTTATGTTCACTTTTACATCCAACAACAAAACACCTGAGTTGCTTACGAGACATTCTTATTGCTACAGCTGCTCCGGCCTGGAGAAAATGGCGGAGAGTGTACGGCTCGCTCAGGGCGGGGTCTATGCTAATAGGGCGGGGTCTATGCTAATACGGCAGAGTCTGTCAGCAGTCGTGGGCGGGGCCTGTACAAAGTGATGTCACTTTTCCCAGAATCTGTGAACGGCTTGTTCTGAGACACTGCTTATGATTTATGGGCGGGGCGCACCCATTATAGGGTGGTTGTGTACACACACTCTACACACATTTATGTTCTAACACCATGTAAAATTTTATTTGGCATAAAAGGTCCCCTTTAACATGTCCTTGCTGGTATTAAAAATCTTACCGACCCCAAAATTTAGAATGACAGTGAACATTTATAAATATTTAGATACAAGAATATAAGACATTATGCGTATTAACAGTTACAGAGACATTGAATCAGTGTCAAACACTGGATTTATTGAAGATTAGTAGATAGTAGGTTTGTTTTTGTATTTTTTATTTATATGAAAACACCTATATGGCACCCCAGATGTCTAATATCCTGTACTTTTACAAATTGAAATGGAATTCATAAATATAAAGGCTTAAATCATCTAGGCAGAGCATTATCTTCTAGAGAATAAATCTAAAAAGGTGCCTCTGTGGTTACTATCTATACACTCAGGTTCATGAAATGAGGTCGGATTAGTTTATACATTATTAAATACACTCAAGATAAAGGCCAGGCTATGGATCACTTTACAGCCATATGGAACCAAACCCACTGCTAATTCCAGCAGATCCATTTGAAGCCATTATTAATGGCGCATTAGTGCAGAGTGCCGAATTAAAATGGTTTGCTGGCTGCAGAGGGCTTTTTATGGAAATACTAGAAATACGATATGCTAATCGACCGCTCATTCACTGCTGATTTGAAGCGGAAAAGGTGTTTCTATCTTAGAAGCGACAGCTCTTTCTTCGACATGATATTTAAATCTCAGAAGTTGTATGGCTGTAAATGACGTGAGTGCTTTGAGAGGAGCAGAGAAAGGCGATCATTAAATGCCCGATCAGATAAAGGCCAGCAATTTCCTCCAATTACCAACCCAATCAACACCATCAGGGGTAAAATAACTGCATCAATAGCCATGAGTGAGGGCGGTTTGTTTACAAAGGAGGAATTGAGGCCCTCGATTGGACAATAAAACGTGCAACAGAAATATACACAGCATACAAATTTCTGTACTATGACCAAAATTTGCACAATATACTGAAGTTTGCTTTGCAATTTCCAACAATGCAATGCTATGGACACATGGAAATTAAAACAAAGGACATGGAAGACATAGATGCTGTGTTTGGAATAGCATACTAAGATGTTTACAGTATGTACTTACTGCACAGATTTGGATGCCTGAGACCTGAACTTGGTAAACTCTCCTGGTGCAGTCCACTCAGATCCCAGCTGAAACAGAGCAAACCCACAAGTTGTTAATGTTGTAATGTAATTACAGTGCAATTAATGTCGGGCGGGCAATTACGGTGGGCGGTGGGGATTTTTTGGGGGCTCTTAATCAAAAGTGCCCCTCTCAACAATTATTCACAATAATATTGTGGTAAAAACAAACAAATTGCATTTGAATTATAATTGAAATTACAATAAAACAGTAACTATCTATCCATCTATCTAATCAAATGACATTCAAATGACAATGACAAATAAGAGTGTGCACAATAAATACATATATACTACCATTCAAAAGTTTGGGGTAAGATTGTTTTGTAAAGAAATTAATATATTTATTCAGCAAGGACACATAAAATTGAAAAGTTGCAGTAAAGACTCATACAATGTTACTGTTTCATAATAAATGTTGTTCTTTGGAACTTTCAGTTTTACCACTGATAATTATAAGCAATGTTTCTTGAGCAGCAAATCATCATATTAGACTGATTTCTGATGGATCATGTGACACTGAAGACTGGATAAATGTTTCTGAAAAAATTCAGCTTTGCATCACAGGAATAAATGACTTTTTAAAGTAATTTCAAATGGAAAACAATTAAATTCAGTACAGTGATACAGTGATATTGTAAAAAAAAGATTTTTCCAAAAACATCTTACCAACCCAAAACCTTTGAACACTAGTGATTATTTTACTCTTATACCATTTTCAAAGTTTTTGAGGAGTTGTACCACATGACAATTCACAGCCTGGCGAATCTTGCCTTGTCATAAAAAGGTCAAAATATCTGTAATTTTAGGAGACTTATTGACCCAGACACCAAGGACATCATATCCTGTTTTTTTTGCTTTTATATACACCAAAGGCAAATTTTGTATCGCATTTTTAATAAATGCTCTATTTTGGATGTGAAAGAAGTTTTTTATTCTGATTTTATAGTATAATGAAGCCTTTCATCTTGAATAATCAAGGACATTATGAATCCTCATAATACGACCCCTTTAAAACACTTTGAGGGATTTGTGTTTTCCTCCAATAAACCTTAATAATAACCCTTCTCACAGTCGTAATGTTTTTATATAATCCAAAGCATCCCTCTCTTGACCCGCAGGGCAACTGCAGCGATTTCCACACCAACCCTCAGTAACTAATGAGTGCTCTTAGAGCAGTGATCCAGAATGAAATCTTCCATCTCTCCATCCCAGCATGCCTCTCTTTAATTGTCATGTGTGGCATCTCTCTCGCTCTCAATGCTTCTGTTCACATCGCACGTCGATGCAATGAATCATAATGCCTCCTGGATCATCCAGGATCCCTGCTGCCCTCAAAGACGCCTTTCATTCAACACACACACACACACACACACACACACACACACACACACACACACACGCCAACCAAAAAAAGTCCCGCTGCAGATTCTCCCACACTTTCCCCTCTTTTTGCCAAAAGGAATGCGTTTACTTTCCGCACACACCTTGCGTGGCCATCAGGATCAACACACACGTGTGACTCAGCCAATGCTAATTGCCTCCGCTGCCAAACACAACTTGGCCTCTCACGGGTATTAGAGGACAAAGATGCGTTGTGTATTTGCATGTGTGTGTGTGTACGTCTGCCTTCAGAGGCGAAAGCTACAGTATATTTCCACTTGAAGGTGACTACAGGAACATCTTTCAAATGCGAGGGGAAGAGAAAACATTGGGTGGAAATGTTTTGCTAGCGCCCTTGCTAGCAACAGTTCTTTTAAGTTAAATAAAAATCACAGCTTTGAAAAAAGACGTACACTTTAGCATAAAAAAGTACTTATTATGGAAATAATCTACTTTAAAATGATACACATAGGGCCCTATTTTAACGATCTGAAACGCAATATCAAAAGCGAAACGCAAGTAACTTTGTGGGCGGATCTAAAATCTAAAATGCAAATCTAAAATGGGTTGGTCTGAAGTAGCTACATTACTCATAGGTGTGGTGTGCAATAAAACAATCAGAGAGTCTTCTCACATTCCCTTTAAGAGCAGGCGCGCTTGTTCCATGGCGGATTGCTATAATAATGTTGTTTTTCCCAGGCGCGCCAGGAGCGGTTCACAGCCGAGGAGACTGACGTTCTCATCAGGGCCGTAAAAGACAGAGAAATGACGTTGTGTGGGGAAGGGAGAAACCCACCCAAATTAGCTTCGGTTAAACAGGCGTATAATAATATGGGTAGATGTGTAAGCTAGTTTATGCCTATTTTTTCGCATCTTCGTGGACACCACAATAATTTCCCTCGTGTGTTAATATATTTCCTTGTAATAATGTATGATTTGCAAAAATGAGAACTGCTGCATCTGTGTAGATGAGAGAAGCGAAGTGTATGAGCGTTGTGCACACGCTTCATTATGGCCAAGCATGCGCCCTGTAACTAACATCTGAATAGCGGCAGGTTTTTCCTGGTCTGCGGCGGAATTGTTTTCTGGAACTGCACAATAGCACCAGGGAACGTTTGCGCCGGAACACGCCTCCTCTTTTCGCTGAACCGCCCCGGAAGCGCAAGTTCATTCCCTAATTTACCAACGATGTGTCTGTGGAGGGAAAAGTCTGCTGTGCGTCGGGTGCAAAATAGGAATGATACATGCGTCGGTGTACAAAGTCAATTGCGCTCGGGTGCAAGATAGGGCCCTTAAAGTGAAAATGAAGCTCATGTAGACCGATGACTCTTTTTTTTTTTTGCATGAATGTTAATGGTGCTAATGCTACATCTTTTGCTACAGGGCTTTGTGCCGTTTATAATTGCTAAGTGTTCTTGGTTGCTGGTGTTTTTTAGGTGTCGGCTTGCTGGCCTGAGTCAACGAGTCCACTCATAGCCTCCAAATATGGATGGATTCCTTCTTTCAAAGCCTATGGGATTTTGTTAGCTTATTTTATAGTCCACCAGGTGAAATGGATAGTTCACCCAAAAACTAAAATTCTGTCATCATTTAGTCACCCTCGTGTCGTCCCAAACATGCGTGTCTTACTGTCTTCTGCGGAACACAAAAGAGGATATTTTTTTAATAAATGTTTCACTCTTTTGGAACCCACTGTGTAAAAAACAAAACAAAAAAAACATGGGTTTATGTTCTCTCTTTCCCTGTCAGCTTTTTTTCTTCCAGTTTTCACAAAACTTTCATGGCTTCCAGAATATTTGGTTGTATGAATATCTGAAATGCAATGCAATACATAAAAATAAAGAACAGAGACTCTGCTTTAAAAAAATAAAGACCTTTTTTTGAATTCTAGCTTCATTCATTCTTTTTATTAACCCTTTAATGTCGGGAAGTTTCATAAAAAAAAAAAAAATCAAACAAAGAGCAGAGAAAATCGTGTTTCTGTCAAAGGCTACGTCCAGATCGGATACGATTGAGTCCATCAACACCCCCGAAGCTTCTCAGTACTATACCTCTTCATGGGTTCATCATTTCATTGGGCAGTTTTGATTAACATACTGTTAAATGTTAAATAGTTAATAGTTAAGATTATAAAGAGGACTTGAAAATTTGAACAGCAACTGCAACTTGCATAGCTACATGGTAATCATTGTAAAACTAAAGTGAAACAACATATTTTACTAAATAGATATCAATGGCACACACCACTAAAAAAGTAGTAAACTACTTAAGTTTTCAACAAATACGAAAAAAAACCACATTGTGTGTGACATGCATTCAAATATGGCACATCAAGATGGTTACACTACGCCTGAAGGTAGCGACAATCGATCACAAGACAAACAAGAACCAATGCTTTCGTTGTTGCTGACTTGCCGTGATGCATTATATTAGATTGTTTGATTTTTACAGCATGTCCTAACCAGAAGCAATGCGATAACATGTGTGTGTCCACAACAGATGCATCTCAGCCAATCAGAAGAGTGTGTGGGCGGAGCTCTGTCTGCAAGCGCACGGCTGTCTGCACTCACAGCAAAATCGATAAATACATAATCAAATCACTAAAAATTTAACAATTTCGTCACTATTCAAAATTCATAATCGTGGTATATTTACTCAAGAAAGACATACTAAAAACAGAAATGATTTTCCTTTGCTTTTATCGCGTACAGACGACAACGCTGTCAAAACGATCCCGTTCACATGGATCCGCGAAAACGACTAAAAACTATGTATTCTGCTGCCAGGCCAGTAGATGGCGATGCCACTGTAAAGAAACCTATAGACTGATCACGTAATACGCATAGACAGTATAAGAAGTGGACAGAGCCATCTCATTGGAACTCAGTTGAGACAGTTGAAGCCCATTTTTAGCGATTTTTGAGCACTTCCGTTCCTGACGCGCAGACTCAAACCGACTCAAACTAAGCTTGATGACGTGAGCAACCTGTCTGACAGACGTTAATCTTCTAGTAGCTGTGCGTGAAAATTGCCAACGTTAATCTTGCAGAGACAGGGAACTTGAGCAAAGAGTTCTTTGGCGTGAGTGAGCAGGAGTAAGTATTCCGTTGCTTTTATGGACTCATTATCTATGGGCTTCTCCCTTGACGGGACGTCCCCTCGATTGCCTGCGAGCTTCTCCTCCTGTCTGTATGGTAATTTCTGTAAAGCGCGACAGAGAGTCGAGTGGTTATGACGCAATCGTTAGCCTATTTTTACAAAATCTGTTTCTACGGGGCCATAATGTAACATAGAAGGTAATGGAGCCCTTTATACATTGTCGTGTTTCTTTAGAAATAAATAATGGACAAATGGAGTCTTTAAACGCCTCAGATGTAAAGTTATCCGCTGTCAAAGTGACGCCAAAATGAATGGGAGTCAATGAAAATGCTAACGCAAGTGAAGTTCTGCTACAACATGGCGGCACCCGGCCGGCTTCAACTTCCGGTCGATGGATTACCCCCTTGGTAATACGCATGACGTCACCGTTCTCACAAATTCATATTTTTGTTGTAAACATGGAGATGATAACAGTATCGTTAAAAAAAGAATCCACTTCGAAACCCGTTTTCAAAAGTTTGTGTTTTCAAAAGGCCCCCAAAACTCTGTTGTCGTGTAAATGAACGGCTAAAACGAATAAGCGGTGTAGTGTAAACGGCCCCTCAGTGACTAATACAATCTTTGTCACGAAATACACTTGTTAGTTCACAGTTTCGTTCTTGTTTCCTTTAAGTTATGTTCAATATCTGAGGTAAATTTGAGCAATTTAAGTCACACAAAATGATACTCGAATTACAAATCAAGCTGTCGCAGGAACAGAAACCGTTCCAAAAACAGAATCAACTGTCGCGCATCATCATAGCGGCACGTTTCACGGCACGTGTGGTTAGCTTCAAAAGATTTCGTTTGTGTCATTTCTGGAGGTTGAAAGCTCTTTGGCCCTTGTAAGATATTTAGCATTTTGGGCATGGTGTAAGAAAAATAAGTCGCACCGATCCAGAACAACGTGAAGGTGAGTAAAAGATGACAGAATTTCATTTTTTGAGTGAACTATTCCTTGAAGTTCTCTCTGTAACACAATTTGTCTAGTCAATGGAAGTGCAACGGATAACCTAACAACGCTATTTTTCATCTTTCAGAGATGTCTATGGTATTTCTGCTGGTATTTCTCTCCTTTATACCATTCCATCTATTTTTGAGCCATGTGAACTTTCCCCAAACACAGAATTACATTGAAGAAACTCATTTTGTCTATCTGCGACCCTGGAGTATTGAATAGATGGAATGGGGGCAAACAGAGAAAATACGGGAGCAATGGAGTCACGCTGACGGCAGATATTGCACTCTCTTCTTTGTGTCTTTCTTCACTCTCAGCTCTTTTGTTCCCACTTCTCACTCTATTTGTCAAGCGGTCGCCTCAAAATCTTCGCTAAATGAACTTTCTGCCTTATTCAGACGGATCTCTTAGAGTTGAAACTTTTGAGTGTCTATATTTAAGTCCACAGAAACACGGTGCTTCTCTGTTTCTCCAGCTTGGGTGGATTTCCCCATCTACAGGTGCGACTGGAATTGGTCTGTCCCTTCCGTAAAGAGTCACTCGGAATTCCGGAAAGGCTGCGATTCTTTCTTCGACAAAGAGACGCCTTTCAATCGATCACGCATCTCTGCGACAGGGTATCAAGTCCTCGGCTGGCATGTGTGAGCGCCAATTCCCATCTGAGCCAGACGTAATCGATACACACTCCCTGTAAACTCTCACAGGCTTCTCTGGCTAAGGCACTAATTGTGTTTTACAAAGCCAACGCTCCCTCACATCGTACAAATCTACACTTCTAAGCACCAAGAGCACTGGGGAATAAATCTAAATCTAAATGAAATCCACCAAGCAGTAACAGCAAGGCCTTCTGTTTGAGGAAATAGTCACCGCCGCTCACAATGACACAACGACTGCCGATCAATGAACAATGAAAGGAGTGTTGATTGATAATTACACTTTAAAGCCTATAAAATTGAATACAGATTATTGGGCAAGTGTGATGTACACAATAGGGATGTGCCCGAAGCGAATCTCTTATTTTTGGAAATGCACAGAAAATGAATTACCCCTTCCCTAAAGGGACTAGGTTAGGATTGTTGCAGTAGAAATTTTTCAAAGCGATTTCAATACCACGGATATTGACAGCGGCTCCATGATGCCTGCAAATTATATACAATATATAATTGCGAGACAATGCAAAAGCATTGAAATATATATATATTTTAAATTTCCTTTTTGAATAAGGTATTCAGCTTTGGGCACATCCCTAATACACAATATAATATGCAATATATATTTACTTATATAAGTAAAATACATACTTATTTTACTTATAATAAAATCAAATAATAATACTTTTATCATAATTTTATTTTATTATAATATAATTGCTATACAAATTATTCAAGTAATTAAATATAAATGTAATAAATATATAATAATATTATATAGTTATATTAAAAATGTATATATAATTACTTGAACAATTTGTATAGCAAAATTATACAAGGTATAAAAGTATGTATATATATCCAGTATGTGTGTGTGTATATATATATATATTATACACACAATCTTAAATCCCTTACCTTTCCCACGTAGGCCAGCAGACGTGCATTGAGAGGACTTTCATCTGAACTCAACCAGAACTCTGAGTTATCATCAGAAGAAACTGCAAACTGAAAATCTCCTGGACAAATGAGAGTGACGGACAGTGTGAGCGACAGGTAACAACGCTGCTTCTTGTATATGTAGGACACACTTCTTTGATAACGCTGTGAATGTGATTGTCACCTGCTCTACATTCTGTATCTCTGTATAGCAATTTTTACTTTTAATACAAAAGAGCATTTACCATCCTTGTAAGGTAGAATGTATCCAAATATTCTCAGGCCGTAGTTCTTCCATTTTGGAGCCACGGCCAACTTCTTCACTGTAGTTCTCGTCTGGAGAGATGAAATGTTTGAATATGAAATTAGTATGTAAAATAACATTGTGGTGGGGTGAGTGTATAAAGACATGGTGGGTGGAGAGACCGGCGTTTCTCATCCCTGAATGTGTAAAAAAATATGATCTGATGATCTTTACAATGGAACTGAATCAACACTTCAGCCTGACAATGACAGTTTTATTAATTTGAGCTGCTTTATACAGCTAAAATGAACTCTGTTTGCATCATTTTACTATCATCACTATAAAGTGTTATATAAATAAAGGTGACTTGACTTTGGAGTTTAAGATGGATTTTCATATATTTTCATATTTTAACCCTGTGGGACAAGAATAAAATAATGACATTTATACAATAAAATATTTGAAAAAAGCAAATATGAATAATTAAGACATGACTAAAAGATTCCATGTCAGTTTTAATGCCATCCCCATACAAAACGAAAATAAATAATAATAATTCCTATAGTTGTCAAAAATCAATCACTGAGAGATAATGGTGTTAATTTATGTTTTATTGTCTTTCAAAATAAAATGCCTGTGTGAGTTTTGAAGCCGCTCCTGCTGTGTCTGTTCAGTCTCACCCTGCCATAAACACTAAACAGACACACACATCACAGTGTGTGTGTGTGTGAGACTAGAATCTCGGCTATCTGTCATCTGTTTACAAAATCACAAAGACAGAAAGATGGAGATCAAGAAACAGAGGAACAGAGAGGAGGATTTCCAGAACAGAGATACACTATTTTCACAGTACGCGTCTGTGTGTGCTTTTACTTTCGGGTGGGTTCTGTCAGACTTAGTTTGTCTGTGATCTATAAAAACAGGACGGCCAAAAAAAGAACCCAAAAAAATAAATCGCAAGGTAGAAAGTTGTTCCAAACCTGTATGAATTTCTTTTTTCTGCTGAACACAAAAGAAGATATTTTGAAGAATGTCAGTAACCAGACAGTTGCTGGTCCCCATTGACTTCCATAGTATGATGTTTTTTTGTCTATGGAAGTCAGTGGGAAACAGCAAGTGTCTGGTTACTGACATTCTTCAAAATATCTTCCTTTTTTTTCAACAGAAGAAAGACCCTCAAATTGTTCTAAACCTGCAAGAAGTTGAGTAAAAGATGACAGGATTGTCTTTTTTGGGTGAACTGTCCCTTTAAAGATCCAATGAAACAGATCAACAAGCACACTTTCATTACTTGCATACATTTATTTCCTGTGAACATTTCCTATGGGGTGGGGCATATCGAAGGGCTCGTTCATTTTTAATAACAGCCAATAGATTTTAATTACATCACAGCCAAGCCATGTAACCTGATTAGCAACTTACTAAAGCAGTTGGTATTGGGGGAGGGGCATTTGTGTTTAGAGAGCATTTGATTGGACAGAAATGTGGACACACCCTGGAGTGCAAGATTAGTCATCAAGATCGATGTACATTTTAAACACATTATGTCCACTAAAAGATTGCATTTATCTGTAGAACTCTAAAAATCGAATAACACTGAAGTTCCCTTCCACGAAAGAGAAATGGATTTTCCAACTGAGCGAAACATACTGACAAGTTCTTCTAAAGAGCAAATTCCTCCCAACGATGACATAGCTGCATGTTTACCCAGCTTTCTGCTAATATTTACTTTCCACCGTTTCCGTTACGCTTCACTAGGCTCCCCGTGCAAATGCATGGCCGCTGTAGAGCGAGACGTGGGCTGGTGTTTTAAAATGCCTATCTGACCAAACACAACACTGTCACATTACTCGAAAACTCAATTATGTTTTTCTCATATCATCACGACAGCCGCCGTTTAAACCAAAACAGCATGCTTTCTAATATCCCTACTAAAGTTTATCATACCAATGACTATATGGTGCATCAAATCCCTGTTTTAGGAATATTTCCCCCTTTTGTAGCATTAATCTGTTTCCGTTTTGCTCTACATACTCAATCATAACAGTATGCTCTATCTCATAAATCATACAAGCTAAACAGATACTCAATAATTAACGTGTTGATGTTAATAATTAACTCAGTCATCTAAAAACAAATTGTCCTCTTTAAAGCTAAAAACTGTCCACATGGCCAATCAAAAGAGTACAAACTGTTTCAACATTGGAATTAAATATTCATTTTTTTAAATATCTCATTGCAGCTTTACTGTACATCAGTAATTCTCAGAAATTATCATTATGCACAATTTCCAGACTAGATAAGCACTGATGCATTTGTCTTTAAGTCCCGCTTGGTAAAAATCAAGCTTTTAATGTTGTTTATATGTCTATGTGGTGTTTTTAATGTGCTTTAAGACAAAGCAAATTCATAAGTCAACACCATTGCTGAGTATTTTCTGATTATTTTTAAACCTGCAGTGAATCAAAGACAGTCTCAAAAACACGGTTTGAAATCGCTGGTGTTTTTGACGTCACAAACTACCTCGTAACCAATCAGGTCAACGTGTGATCGTCAACCAGTGGATCTCTGAGCTGGAGTGAGTGAGTGGAGGCGGGGCTCATTTGCATATTCATAGAACCGCTTATACTAAATGAGGGAAGGCTGTAGAGTTACATTCAAGCTATTTTAAGGCATGAAAAAAAAAAGTTTAAATATGTAATTTTGGTGATCAAAGATGAGTTTTAAGGGATACAATTATTGACTACAGGGGACTTTAAAATATGTTCCCACTGTTTTCTCCCTATAAACTCATGAAGTGTATATGACCACACATGTCTCTTGAGATGGGAGTTTGAGACTTATAGCCGCTCAAGGACAATAGACAAACCAATTTCATCTACCGTTTACCCAAGAATACATGAATATGTGATCTGGTCTATGGGAGTTTGAAAGACATTGAAAGTATGAAAGACATACACATGAACACATTCTTGAGAAAATAACAAAAGGACATATCCAAGTGTTCAAATGTCTGAGACCTTCATGTAAACCTGGAAGTGTTGGGATGTACAATGAACCAAAGAAAGTATGATTCTGCATTATATTTAGTCACTAATTTGTGACATTGATCATGTGACTTCTTTGTCAGATGTTATTTCTTTTATTGAAGCACAAGAAACTCTTCGGATCATTTTCAAATGATGCTGGAGAACATAACCGTTGGGTTTCGTTCATTTTAGCTAGCTCATTACAGCAAAAAATAAAATAAAAAATGTATTCGCTCAAATTGTTATGCTGATAAAATAATGTCATAAAAAATCAGAATAGTCTCAGACTTTTATATTCATACTCACATGGGGGTAGAGAGGAAAATGCAGGTTCTTCCTGAGCTGAGCGACTGAGGAGCCACACCAGTCTTCAAACACGTGGAGGTTCGCTTGACCTTTAAACTGTCAAGAAGACACATGGAAGACCTGAATTAAGATTACTTTCTGAGACACTGGTGAAGTGAACCAAAAACCTTAATACAATCACTGTTATATATACTGACCTCAAAAGTTTGGGTCAGCCTTTTTTTTTTTAAGAAATGAATACTTTTATTCAGCAAAGGGGGCATTAAATTAATCAAAAGTGACAGTAAAGACGTTTATAATGTTACAAAAGGTTTCTATTTCAAATAAATGCTATTCTTTTGAACTTTCTATTCATCACAGAATCCTGGGAAAAAAATTTATCACCGTCTCCACAAAACTATAAAGCAGTTTTCAACATTGATAATAATCAGAAATGTTTATTGAGCATCATATCAGCATGATTTCTGAAGGATCATGTGACACTGAATACTGGAGTAATGATGCTGAAAATTCAGCTTTGATCACAGGAATATATTACATGTATTCAAATGAAAAATAATAATTTCAAATTGCAATAATATTTCAACATATTACTGTTTTTTAATTAGATTGATCAAATAAATGCAGCCTCTTTAAAAAAAAAAATCTTACCGACACCAAAACATATACAGTGTAATTTTTTTTCAGCCAAATATTTAAATGTTCAAGCCTAATGCTGTCACAAATTACTCATTATGCATAAATGATCAAATAAATGACATAATTTAACATAAATTAGATACTATTTAACACAATATTGCTTAGACAAAAACCTCAGTAGTTAGTTTATTGGCTACGTTACTTCAGGTGATTGTATTTAGGCTTCAAAATTCATAAAAGTTGTGTTCATTGGTGAAAATGATGAACAAACCGTGTAAGAATCATATTTTGTATCTCACAAAGCTTATTTTCTGCAACAATCCAAAAGCCAATGGGTTTTTGTCAATGGGAACAGGTTGATGCATTAAAACCCCATCCCTGCAGCACTCTATATAGTCTTTTATAAAAACAACCACGATTTTTGGCAAACCTCTGCAGTATTATGAGATTTATAGCTGAATGACACTAGGGATTGAGTCCCCAAACCGCTGAAGATCCGTGAGAAGAAGGGATGCAGATCTAATCCTGTACTGACCGCTGCTGAGTGACCTCAACAGAACTGAACCGCCATGTTTTGATCCACAGGGAGTTAAGCATTAATAAAACACAACAGCTATTTAGACGACTGGTGTTCTGGCACATTGTTCCACACGCTCAACGGAGCGTCTACAGGTCCCCCCCCCCACCCCAAAAAAAAACACAACAAAACACAGCGGAGAACATCAGAGGTGTTACACCCCGAAGCTAAAGGGAGGAAAACGAGAACATTTTCCAGCCCAGTAGAAAAATCCGATCGTTTCAGAAAGCGCTCATGGCGCTCGCTTCTGATGGGGCGCGTCACAAACGATTAGCATCAGTTAGCATGCTAAAGCACGGATGACCACGTACAATACTGAGAATGCCTCCTCTCGCCGATGTCAGTTAAAGCTTTTTAAGCCCGACAAATAGAACCGACATATTCACATTAGACAGCCGGCTACACTTTCAACCGAGTATATTTTATTCCTGGTATTTGGTGCCTGTCAGAAGACATTAGACTCGAGCAGACAGAAGAGAACTGGGAGTTATTGTTTATTCCTTGCTGTTGCCGTAAAATTGATTCTTTTCTCTCCCTCGGTGAATTGTCTAAACCCGATCAATACGAGAAGATCAGAAGCACAATTCTGTTACACACCACATTTGCACACACCACAGAGACTCAGAATAAAGGCACCTTGCGGTTGAGGAACCGGAGGAAAATTCATTCGCTTTCATGAACTGGAGAAAGTTTGGTTGCATCAGTTTGCAATGAATCTTTGATGTACAAATGTTCCTGACCATCACAGTTGAGGTGAACTCGGTCAACCCATCAGTTCTGTCCTTTATCTAATAGTATCGGTAACTGACCTCAGGCACAGGAGGGATGGTGGGCTTCTTGCAAAGAAAGCTTGAAGTAGTTGGTGATGCAATTTCAAGGCCTTTCCAGGAGTCATATCATGCAAAAATATAAATATACGTATATATTTGGCTCTTTTGAAATAAGAGTTTGTAGATTACTATGTTCAAACCCAAACAAAGCTGCAAAAATAGCTCTTTCAGAAATCTTCAAGGTTGTGATATAACAGGGATGGACAGGGCTCCAAAAAAATATTTATCCAATTGTCCATATCCATTTTTTTTTAATCTTTTTTGGGTGATTGATTGCTTGTTGACGATGGTTGTTACGGGGTTTAGTTCCCATTTAATGGCTCAATTCACCCTTCGCAGGGAGTTTGATTGACAGGCGATCTGACCAATCATAACCTGCCATCCGCCGAATCCGCCATTTTGTCCGACAGAGCAGTCAGGGGCCGGTAGTAGATTAACGTCGGTGGATTTGAACTTGAAAAACGGTGTGTCCTGACGTCTTTCCGCGGTTGAAACAACATTCCTTCTGATGTTCATTCATGTTTATTTGATGCTATAAATTAACTTGAAGGAAGAGATGATCGGTTCACGAGACGCTACAGGGATCTGTCACGACACATTAAAGAGCCACAAAAAAGTTTTTTATAGTTTAAATTTCTTTTAAAAAGGACCAAATTTGAAAGTTGAGGTTTTGTTTCATATCAAAAGTAACCTGGTCTGTCCTGTCTGTCGACGTGTTGTCAGTGTCCACTTTGCTCTGTGAGAACATGATGTGGTGTGAGAGCGGCAAGCAAAAGTAACTAAAGGGTCAATTGTAGTGACCATTATTGCAGTTATGGCATGATATGGCGAAAGCACACATTTAAACACGCTTTCCATCTTTTTGTCAATGGTAGTAGATTTTACATTATTGTCTAATAATCAGAGCCGGACAGTAACGGAGTACATTTACTCGAGTACAGTACTTAAGTACAATTTTGAGGGATCTGTACTTTACTCGAGTATCATTTTTGGGGAGTACTCATGACTTTACTCAAGTACATTTGAGAGGCAAATATTGTACTCTTTACTCCAATACATTTCTATCCATAACCGTGAGTACCCGAGTAAAAAAAAAAAACAAGTAAAAAAAAAAAAAAAAATCTCGGAAACCCTCAATTTGTTGTTTCCCTCTTAAACGTGATTGGATTGTGCAGGCGCCACTGATTGGGACAGCCTATCAGCAATCACTTTCAGCTTTCCGCCAAAGTCAACTCCATGGTCAGATTTTATATTACACATTAATGTAAGCCAAGCATTTGGTTTGATGTTCTTGAGTATGTGGTGTGTTTAACACAGTCAGGTTCAAATGTGGCAGTGGCGTACACGAGGGATTTCTGATTTCTTAAAAAAAAAACTTTAGGAGGCAAAATATATTTTTACTGATTATGTGAATTACACTGCGCAAACCAAAGTAGGCTACTACCCAGCGAATGAAGAAGGGTTGGCGCTCAGTCTCCACAGTACATAAAATATTAATTTTGTTTTATTTTATTTTTCGGGTTTGCATTTATGAGGAAAAAACAATGTTATGGACGTGTTCTCCGTTACGGACGTGAGCGCTCTGAAAGCGGCATAAAAAATGCTTTAAAACTTTCATAGAGACATCAAACAGAAAACACAAAACCTTTCTTTAACCTGAATTTCGTTTTGCATTAATTGTATCTTAATTTTAATCAATGTTTCATCAACCAATTGCCTGGGTTTAATAAATAAGAAGTAAATAGCAGACGATAGATAAGAAATGGAGGCGCCGGCACGTGAACTGGATCTCGTCTCATAAATGAACCAAAACTGAGTGTATAAGGTAGCCTACTTGCCTCTCACAGATATGTCTACTTTTAAACAGAAAAATTCAAAACGAAAGAAAACAGACTACAGACTGCTCTCTGCTTATGTAATCCGTATGAAATGTGCATTTCTCTCTGGCGCGTTCACTACTGAAGATCGCGAGTCAGCATCGTCAACTTCATCTAGCCGACACTGACAAAGAAAACACTTGTTTATTAACAAGTGTTTATTAATAAACAATTAAAATATCTCCTTGCTATATTTTACATATTCATAATCATTCCTTTTGCCGGTTCTTTGTGACAGCTTTTAGGTGTTTTATTGGCAGCGCCACCCTTACATGTGGTGTGTGTGTGTGTGTGTGTTGTCCCCGCATTTAAAGATGGGACCCCCCAAAAATTTAATTAAATGAAATAAAGCAACATGGTAAAAAGATGAAAATGACTTGATTTTACTTTCAATTCCTTTTATATTCTCCAAGGTATTAACATTAACATTTTTCATAACTCCACGTAGGACGTTTCTGTGCATAAATGTAAGCACTGTGGCAGTAGATTAGTAATGCAATATTTAGAAAATCTACTCTTGTACTCTTGATACTCAAGTACTTTTAAAAACAAGTACTTTAGTACTTTTACTTAAGTAGACATCTGACTGTAGTACTTTTACTTGTACTTGAGTAAAATTTAGCAAGGGGTATCTGTACTTTTACTCAAGTAACAAAGCTCTGTACTCCGTCCGCCTCTGCTAATAATTCTCTCTTTTTTGTGTTTGTGTCCATTGCTGTTGCTGTTAGGAGCTCTGGCTGAGACAGTGCTAACTATATTGGACCCAACAACAAACCCAAGAAGTGAAATCCATGTGAAAAGGTTAGCCAATCATAAAAGAGATCACTTACATAGGGGTCTTAAAGGTACAGGAACAAAAGGTTATCTGTCATCATTTACTCACCACTAACGACAATATCCAAACAACATTGGATCCCCACTGAGTTTCATTATTTGGACACGTTCAAAGATATTTAAGATTTTTCAAAATAAATCTTCTTTTGCGTTCCATAGAATAAAAGTACACAGGTTTTTATACAAAGCATTTTATAAAAGTGGACTTACAATGTTCAGGGGGAAAAAATCTAAAAAGTAAAAGATATGGCCACTTTTCAACTGAATAATGACTGTTTACTATTGTCTTTTTAGAGCTGCTTTACATCAGAATTGAATTCTGTTTGCAACATTGAATCA